CCGAAACTTTGAAAATCCAAAATATCAAATAAAAAAGACTTGGAAGAGCTGAAAAAATGTGCCAAAGACTGGAGCCAAATACTTCGAAGGATCAGGGCTTTGCATGAGGGAGATAATCCTTAATTTTGAAATCAATTTGTAAATTTTACCATAGCAATTAAATATATATCCGTATTGTCAAGCTAGTACCGAAGTACTAGGTTACTGCGCTGTAGAGACCCTCGGGGACTAACAGTCCACCAGCAGAGGCCGCGACCCAGGGGTCATAATGTAAATCATATACGGTACCAATTTTGTTGTACAAGATGCGCATTTCGACAAATTTAGTCTCTTCAGTGATGCACAAGTGATGTGAAACAGACTTCAGGTAGCACGTATACATGTATTTCAAGAAAAAAAAATAAATGCGCAATTGTCTATATTTCATTTCAAGCTTTTGCAGTAAAAAGCTAGATTTCAAAACCCCTTCATGATATATATGGAATTTTAATTTACCGTGTAGCGGGAATTTTTAGCGGGATGCTAAATTTGTCTTATTTTAACAAAACCGCTAAAATTTTAATCGCTAAATTTGCATCATTGCCTATAAGTACTGAATACTAGAAAAATTCCTTTTAAAAAATTTGATCAGTCTGTTGTTAAACAACTTATCTTTCATCTGGTATTGGTATTTTACTCAAACTCTTGCCTTAATCGGTATTCAAACGTATATTAAACGTACTGAAATGATGAATTTCCTCTCTTTTGTCACCTCATGAAACTCTGTGTTCGCCAAAACAAGGTCCGCCAAAATTATTGACACACCTTTGAGCAAATAAAATACCAGACTTTACACCCGCTAAAGAAACCCGCTATACGGAACTCACATACTCAGAATTTTAAAAAAATGCTGAAATTTGATAAAAACATGTTTAACTTTTTGTCGTAAATGAAAACTTTCCTTCAGAATAATTTGCAATGTCATTCCTGAAATCTTGTATCTTTATGACATACTGATGAACAAAACAATTCTTATTACATGTAACTATAAATTTTGGCCTTTTTTAACACACTAAAAAGATCATTCCTCTATTCATGGCTCAAGTTTTAATGCAGGAAAAAAGGATGAAGACTGCTAGATTCAAAAATACATCTTGCATATATATACATGCATTTATCCAAGATTATGGATGGAAGAATTAATACGTTGTCTCAGAACGAAATGACCGTGAGAGCATTAATGTAAATCTAATCAAATATAATCAAGCATTGTTTTCTCAGGTTCAAAGATAAACAATCGAAAGTATTGAAAGGTTTCTATTTTCCTTGAGAATCATATACATTCATTACACATTGGATATATCTGCTCAATTGACACTTGAATCCCTGGTATTGATTTGTGCATTTAACCATGTGTGTTATTATCTGTAGTTAATCAGTACATATTGAGGCTTGGCAATAAATATTAACTGGTTTTTCCGATTGATTCCTCTCTTTCTTTGCGACTTATAATTTCAATGTTTATTTTGCCTTTTTCCATTGAAAAATATGTATGTAAAGCATTCCATGGAAATCAAATTAGTGAAGCTGTGTACCAGAAATGAATAAATGATAATGTCATTCAAATCCAGATTACTTTCAAATTCTCTTCAGATCATACAAAGATGAAAATCGCTAAATAAATGCCAATTCTTTTGTATATAATGAAGTATAAGTCCCATCAGATAAGTTTAAAATTAAATGACCTCGACCTCTAACAAAGAAATAAATCTTATTGGGATAAAAGAATAATATTCTTTATAAAAGCGATGTCTGTCAAACTGTGCCAAGGACGGTATACTGAAATTTTGTGCATATTTATAACAAATTAGATTTGAGGGGGGGGGGGGTATTAGTGTTCAAGTTATTTCTTTTCAAGAATTGTATGTAAATTATGGTCTAACAATTAGTAAGAAAAACATCAGTCAGCATTTGGCTTAATAACAAATTGTATTTGCTGACAAGGTCATTGTATTGACAATGGAACTTACGAAATGGCGACTTTAAACGAGACTATTAGTATTCTTGTAATATCAATTTGTTTGTCAATAACTTACCTCGTTTTAGAAATTGATCATACGTAGAGCATGCTCTTGCGTATCGAATCAACTGAGAGATATAAACCCTGTATGCAGGTGATGCAGGTATACTGCTGCACAAGTAAGGGAAGTTGACGATTGAAAAGTTAGTCATCACGTTTATCATAAAGCTTGGTTGTTAGATTACCAATAACGTCTTTTAATAGTAAAATGTCCAAATATGAAACAGACGTGTCAGACTCTGTGGTATCTTAGCTTAAGAATGGAAATAACCATTGTTAATTGATAATACATCGCAGATATATCTAAATGACAAGTTGAAGGCCACAGCAAGTGTTTTCACGTATAAGATTCTGAAAAAATTCTGCTTCATTTGAATACAAAAATAGGTCTGCTAATAACGGGGCGTAATTGGTACCCATGGATATTCTAATAGATTGTTGGAAGACCTGGTCTCCAAAAACCACATAGATATTATCAATCAGAAATTCAAGCATCATTTTAATATCAACTTCAGATTACTTGTGTGTACAATCAGAAAGTTTTTTTAAAAAAATAATTTTGCAAATGACCAATGACAAGGTAAGTAAATTTACGAGTTCCATTTTTATTGAAAAAGCAGCTGTCAACGATATTAAAAAGCCTGGACTTTAATTTATCGTGGGGAATGGTTGTATATGTATAGTTGAAAAGTCGTAAGTTTTTATGTTGTTGATTTGGTAAAATTTTGTAATTTAAAATTTTCCAAAAGATCCTTTGAATTTTTAAGAATCAACATCTGATTGACACCACTTCTCGAATACATAGTTGCACAGAACCCCTGAAGTTTCTTCTTCACTACTGTTAATATTTTAATAGGGAGTAAAGAATGAGCTTAGTAGAACATTTACTGGAACCCGCTATGTATCTTTGTTTGTAAGGATTTTATGAAGTTTCGGAATCCAATATGGATATGGTGATTCAAATTCATGCTAGTTGTTGGGAATATTAAAAAAAATTCAAAACTGACATATGATTTTGAAGACTTTCCTCCTTAAAAAGGGAGCTATGGGTATAAGTTAGATTAAAACTTGTTGAATTAAATCCTAGTTCCTCTAAAATGCAATTTAAATAATGAACCTTACGAACAAAGACGATGTTGTTACTTGCTTTGTCAGCAGGGACCAGAAAATACTGATAGTGTAATCTATTTAATTCTTTTTTTTTCTTTTTTAACATCTGAATTATTGAACACAGAAGGATAGTGGTTTTCATATGGCCCCTCAATCGCTTAATGCGAGATTTTAACATACATCTGATACATTTAATCCATTCTGAAAACGTGTCGAGGTCTTCTTTTCCATGTCTCGCCCATCGCTCTACGTAATATTCTACAGAATCCATAATATTTACGAAATCTTGACGCCAGTTAAAAGATCGGGATTCCCTAAATTTTGGCCCTTTTAAAATGAATTATTTGAGGTCCTCAGTATTAATTATATTTACGTCACCAGTAAATACGTCCAGCAGGACTATAGTTGTAGGGTGAAGAAAAACATGAACAGGAAGGAGGACTATGTATCACATGCTCAATATCCATGTGTAAATTTTCTTGTAATTAAAAAGTTTGGAAGCAAAAGTCGATGTATATTGTAGGAAATACAAGGTGTAGTCTTCAAATTGAAATATGTTGGAATACAAGACTGGACCCTTTTGTGATTAAGAACATTACTTATATCAACTGCGTCAATTCCTTTGTTGGCATTTTGGAGTTTAAGGAAAATACGGGCTGTTTTAGCTGCATTTGCTTCTGTAAAACGTGGCGGTTAAAAAAGCCGATGATTTGGTATATCTATAACCACAGGTCCGAGCCTGTATTCTGGTGTCGAGGAATCAAAAATCGGACTTTCCTTGACCTTTACAAGTAGACTATTTAAAAGTTTCAAAGGGACAGAGTAAAGTTTGGTGCGAATGTGATGAAGACCTAACTGTTGATTTACATAAGGTAGTAATGAATCAAAAGAGACATCGTGTATTAAAGGTTTATTGTAAGACCGATACCCATGACTACGCTTACATCTCTGTGCATGGTTAAAAAGTCCCATCACATTTACATTGTTACACTGTGGACTGGAAATATTCCCAACACTATCGTCATTTTCATTGCACCCATTGGGAAAGGATGTGCCTAGTTTTCTAATCCAATATTCTTCTTGTTACCTACGGAAAGGCGTAGCCAGTGATGGACCGTTTGTATGATGGTAAATCTTTCCTAGGATTCTAACTTTCATCGACAAAATAAAATGATCAGGTAAATTAAAATGCTTGTATAAAAGCTGCTGGGCCCCATTGTTAATATGAAATCTGTGTCCTGATATTCTTTTATTATTCTCCCTCATACATAGCTCTGATCCCTCGAAGTATTTGGCTCCAAGTTTTGGCATTTTTTCAGCTCTTCCAAGTCTTTTTTATTTAAATATTTTGGATTTCCAACGTTTCGGCTTGAGCATCACTGAAGAGACATAATTTGTCGAAATGCGCATCTGGTGCATCAAAATTGGTACCGGATATAATTTACATTATGACCCTTGGGTCGAGGCCTCTGCTGGTGGACTGTTAGTCCCGGAGGGTCTCCTAAGCCCAGTAACCTAGTACTTCGGTACTAGCTTGACAATACGGATATATATTTAAAACCTGTGGTAAAATTTAGAAATTTATTTCAAAATTAAGAATTATCTCCCTCATGCATAGCTCTGATCCTTCGAAGTATTTGGCTCCAAGTTTTGGCATTTTTCAGCTCTTCCAAGTCTTTTTTAATTTAAATATTTTGGATTTCCATCGTTTCGGCTTGAGCATCACTGAAGAGACATAATTTGTCGAAATGCGCATCTGGTGCATCAAAATTGGTATCGTATATGATTTACATTAAGTGAACCCTTGGTTTCACCAACATAAACAAGTCCACAAAGATTACATTCTATTCTGTAGACAACATTAGAAGATTTGCAGTTCAGATTTTCCCAAGTATTGTTATAGAAGCCTTGTCTTGTAAGATTACTAGTTAAAGAAATGTAAGTTATCAAAATGTCACAGGTTGGAAATGATGAAACTTAAGAAATGAATTAAGTTAAATAGTGCATAACATGTTTATTGATCAAAGAATTAAATATAAATTATTTTCATGCCTTTCTTCTCAAATCTGTCATCAATTACCATTTAAAAATTAATACTCCAAGATGATTGCATCTAAAAAGTTATCCTAAGATATATTCATCATCTGCACTGGTACCCTGTACTTTGGGATCAGTTGTATTACTGCTGTATAGTTGAGTGTCAGTATGATCATAAACACTGTCTGAGGGTACACGATGACTCCCGGCTGTATCATATTCGTCTACAACAGCCGGCTGAGCGTGAGAATATGTGTCGTCTCTGTTGTTTGAACTGTTGGAACTATTTTGCTGGGCGTGAGAATATGTGTCTTCTCTGTTGTTTGAACTGTTGGAACTATTTCGCTCTAGATGATCATATGTCTCCCCAAAGCTTGTAGTAGAATAATTTTTGTCTTTCTTATTTCTGGAATCACTTACAGAAACGTCATATTTGTAATTGTTAACATCACCTCGATTTAAAGTATACATTTCCGACTGGTTTTCATCTTGTGGTCTATGTTCTGGTCTTTGGCCTACAGTTTGATTATTTTTTATAAGGTCAAACATTTGTCAATTTATTTCCGTGACAGAGAAAACTATCTAATGATTTCATACATAGAACTTAAGGATATAAATAACACAAAAATGTAAGAATAAGTGTTATTTAAATTGTTATTGATATTGAGTTATATTTACCTTCAACATTGTCCAAGACAGTGTTTCCATATCCTTGATTGTGGATACTTTTGTTGTTTTGCTGTTTTTTATTAAGGCTGTATATTGTTTTTAAAGAGAAAATAAGAATATTGCTGCATTATCAGACATACAAGCAGAAATATGACAAAAACAGACTACAGTTTAGATCTTCTAAACTTTAAGACACACTGTTAAAAGAACATTATATTGAGTATGAAAACTGCTAATCTTTAAGGGCTACAGTAAAAGATGTGTTTGGTGTGGATGTGCTCTTCCATCAATCAGAAGTCATTCAAACCAATATTTACTAAATTACTCAGTTTAAACAGTCAAGTCAAAGAGTTCAAAGAATTTCTCTGTATATATATATATATATATAAATATATATATATATATATATATATATATATATATATATATATATATATATATATATATATATATATATATATATATATATATAGTCCTATTGAAACATTGAAACTTCTTACCCGCCTTTCCTTTTCCATAACATAGCAATCACGACTACAGTTGCTGTTACAAGAACCGAGATTACAATCACTATGGCAACGACAACTGATGACACTCCATTAGGTTTCTGCTGGTCAGTACCTTTGATGTTCTCGGGCAAAACAGTTTCTGCAGTGCAAAGATAGTTAATCACTGATTTAATTATTATCTCTTTAAGTTTTGTAGAAATAATTCGATAAACTGACAGTGTCACAGCGAGCCTCTTCTAAGGCTGTCATGAATAGGTACATGTAAGTGACAACTGTACTTAATACATGAATGTTTAGAACAAAATATTTACATTTGATGTGTTTTTCTACTAAGCCAACTGTGAAATTGATTTGAATGTCATTTTTGTGTATACTCACGCGTAGAAATATACACGGAGAAACTCGCTTTAAAGTGACGTCACAATTAGGCTACGGAGACGTTAATAAAAATGTAACGAAATAGGGCAGCGAATAATTCTAACATTGAGTATATTTTTGGTGCTTTTAAACATGTTAAAAGTGAATATAAGGAATGTTTTTATGTTTAGTGTGAATTATTGGTGTGTAAATCATACATACCTGCACGTAGGCATATTTTTCATGAAGCGCTAGCATGGTTCATGACATATGCCTACGGGACATGTTTGTGTGATTTACACACCAATAACTCACACAAAACTTAAAAACATTCCTTAAATGTACCACATAAGGATGGTGACAGGTAACACTAACTAACAGATATCGGAGGTATCGCTCTAAACAAAAGTGTTGTCAAACAGACCTCAATTAAAGATCAACTTCTTCTATTTAATAATTGAAATATCTTGAGTCATATATTCAGACAGAAAGACAAGGCGATACCACGAACAGAAGTGTCAATAGGTATACATTTGTATTCAAATTCTTACAGCAGTGATATGACCCAAAATGTAAACATGTAGGTGTCTTCCATTCATTGTATAGTTTTATATAAGAAAGTTTTAAATGTTGCACTGAAGATTGTTTGAGTTATAGACACACAAGGAAAGTGCAGTCTATCATATGCACGGATGGACAGACAGACGGACAATGTGATATCTATAAGAAACCTGAATTCATCCGAGCTCTTACAAGCTGATTAAAATTAAAACACGCATGCACCTTTGTAACGATTTAGTGCAACACATTTTGTGAGTTTTACTATCAACATTAGCCAATATCTCACATATACTCACTGAAACATTGAAAGACTACTCACCGTTACAAGCTTTGCCACCATAATCGGATCTACAATTACAATCTCCCTCCGCTATACAGAGGGAGATGTTCAGCGAATTCTCCGTCTCACAGCATATATCTATAATTTTTATGAAATATATATCATTAGATGAGAGAAAAAGAGAGGGATAGAGATGTTTAATTACAATAATACAATAATGTGGTGGGGTTAATTGCACCGCATTATACATAAAAGGGAATATGAAAGATGATAGAAAAATAGACTAACAATTTAAATGAAAGTTTTTTACCCAGCATGTCTTTTATTAGAGACGGTTCAGGAGCGTCGCTATCGGTACAGTTCTCATTTAACACCTCACACGTCTGAGTGAAGGAGGATAAACAGTTTAAGGAAAATTCCGAAAAGCAGATATCTAGAAAAGGAAACACAATTAAGAACAATACAAATTAGAACAGAGTTTCAGAGACAACAGTCACATCTACACCTTGTAGTTTGAAGGGTCATATAAGACATGTCCATTTACGGATAATTAGGTCTTTGAGGAATTCATTACTTTGTGTATATTTAAGCTTTGATAAAGTGTCTTATTTTAAATCGATAATGCGTTTGGACAATATGGAAGGCTTCATTGAGGAATTCAAAATTGACTGCAAATTTGCCATGGTAGCACATATATTCCATAACAGAAGAGACAAAGCTTATTAAAACAACCTGCATGAAAACTCTTGCCATGGCCTTTAATTTGACATTTACACACCTACTAATGTTATTGTGATTTAAATTCAAGACACGTGATGTAGTTGACCCATTCAAAGGTTATAGGGTAGAACCGGTTTTATAAATAAAATTGGCAGTAAACAGGAAATTGCTATAGTCTGTTTCTTATGAAAAATATGTTTCCAGACCTCTCTGAGAGATTTTCATGATTTTAAATAGATAGGGGCGGGGGTGGAGGTGGGGGAGGGGGTATTAAAATCACAATTTACTTAATCTTCGCTTTTGTGATAATTTACGGCGAAAATTGGAGCTCAGTAGTGACAATTTTTCCAAAATCGCCCAATAAGCTGGTAAAAAAAATGTGTAAAATCTTCTACAATGAACCTTTGTTTACCTTATATGGCTATTGTTATTAATGCGCACAGAGGATCTTACCACGAACAATTGACCAATCGTTGAATGAATAGCAACGTTTACTGGACAACTACATGTTTACATTTTACTTCGAACACGTGGTTCAGGTCAATCTACGATCGATATTAAATGGACTGTAAAAACCAATTTAAAAAAAAACTGTTTTTATGAAAAAATACAATGATTAGAAACTATGAAAGATTTCACGGGCGTTTGCAATTTGTTATTACGTTGTTGACTAGAAAATGTATATAATAAAATGTAGTCTGTGCCACGTTCAGAACACCTGCACTTCAAGGTTAAGGAAAACGAGCAGCATCTCTTAGGCATCTAAATAGTTAAAGGGACAACAAATGTTTTTGTTTTGTTTGTTTGTTTGTTTGTTTTTTTTTTTTTTTTTTTTTTTTTTTTTTTTTTTTTTGCATTACAATGTGTTTTTGGCCAGGGAACCCACCTGACAATTGCATTCACCGATAGTACAACAATGGAATAGAGACGCTTACAGTTTGGTTTTAAGAAAGCTAGAATTCCACGTTTATTTAACAAATGTTTGTAATTGTGAGCATGGGAATATTAGAATAAAAATGGACAGATTACTTTTCATCTACGAAATGCATGGAAAAAATTTTTTGTGTCTTTCCGATCGCCTGTAGATTTGGGGGTTTTTTTTCCCAAGTGTAAAATTCCTGTTAGTATTCGTAGTAACTCACAATGCAATTCAACTCATTCAGTTGATTTTTCAGTTAAAGCCATGTTGGTTCCTCATTTGTTAATCTGACGCCAAAATTATATAGTCCCATTTTCCAAGTATTTTTTGTCCAAAAAGAAATTTAATACGTAACTACAGAAAATAATTTCATTTGGAATACTTATTGAAGTTTGAATGCGCTTGTCATATAATTTTTTTTTCAATAGTTTTCCATTTACATATAAATTTTTAGTCAGATAACAAAATTAGAAACAGAGGTGGCACACTGAAGTACATTTCTACAGATATTATATAGTGGTGAAAACTGAAACGCAGCATAACTTTTCTGTTTACATGTCTCCATGTGGAAGTCACTTCCTAGCCACATTTCCGTGAATAATTTACCTCATCTCGCTGTAGTCTCGCTAAATCTCGCCAGAGCTTCTTTCAGAGCTACTCTGAACTCCTCGAGTTTTATAATTTGGAGAACATCGAAAAATAAAAGGTTCCGAACACATTAGTAGGGGTGATTTAGATATATCGGCAACATTTCATCATTTATCAATAGCTATTTTTATTCATATTTTGTCTGGATATTTTCCAGTGAAGAGACACCACAGTGTGCCACCTCTGTTTCTAATTTTGTTATCTGACTAAAAATTTATATGTAAATGGAAAACTATTGAAAAAAAATTATATGACAAGCGGGATAACTTCAGCTTTTTAAAATGCAAATATTCTCTATGTATGCGGTTATATTCCAATATCACCCGTACATGGTCTCGAAACTTATTCGGTTCTCAAGACCATGAGCACAATCTAGTTTTGAGCCGAAACAGGATATCAACAATAAAAAGTGAATTTGACAGTGATTTCAACATTCTCCCTATTGAAGTCAGTATGTAACAAAATCTATCATCAATATAAGTACTTTGTTTAAAATGAAAAGGGTAAAGAAAAAGAACGGAGATCGATTTCACAGGAGGAGTAAGCAACCCCTGTCTACCTGTCACACCCACCGTGAACCCTCTGTTTTGATCAGGTAGACGGAGTTGTCCATAGTTAAGTAAGAAAACAAAGGCTTAATAATTGCCTTGAAATATGTTAGTCAAAATACTACCCGATGATAGTTTGTATTTGTTTACAAGGTCATCATAACGAACATAGAATTTACAACAACTATAGCTGGGTCTAAATTTGACTAAACTGTTTCATAATAATTATTAAGCCCTTTTTACACTTATTAAGACTATGGATTACTCCACTTACCTGGTCAACACAGAGAGCTCATGGTGGAGTGACCGGTCGACAAGGGATGCTTACTACTTTAAGGCACCTGATCTCACCTCTGGTATTTCTAGAGGTCTGTGATCTTGCGCTCACCATTCTTCTCTTTCGGGTTTTATCAGAACTGCCCTTTTTCTTAATTTCACTTTTTCATTATACAAGATGAAAATGTTTCTATAAAAAGGATGTTTGTGACGAGTTCTCGTAATAAACAAAACTTCCTTTCCAATCCATCAAAAACCCACAGAAGGAAGTCCAAAACCCAATGTCAAATCTTCTTGATAAAGCTGGATATACCCCCGATATTCTGAGGAATGGTATCCAATGCCAAATTTACATTAAAAACTAATATGTTTTGGTCTTCCTCAACCTCTGAGACCTATATCAAAATTGCTAAAACTTTTAGAGAAAAAAAGAAATTTGACCAATACAAAAACTGACAAGATGAGAGTTTTAAAAATGACACAATAGTTTGAAAACGTAACAACATATAGCCATTATTTTCATATCATAAAGAGAGAGAGAGAGAGAGAGAGAGAGAGAGAGAGAGAGATTTAAGCAATATTCTTCTAGATGTGCAAATATTGGATCGTTTCACCAACTTCAGTTACTAATGAAACTGTTACATTTGTTTCATTGATCAGATCGAGGCACAATGTAGTATAGGCAAGAAAATATAGTGATAAATCTAATTTTAGTTGTAAAACAATTTTTTTAAACCAAGATAATAGTGTTTAACTAAATCATAACAGATTATTATTTTTTCAGGAAATTATCCACACTATCTAAAACATACATGCCTGTATTTATTATACTTCCTGGCGAACACTTACTTGCTGAAGAACATGTCCCATTTATATTATCGCAAATGTGTGTGGCTTTGCATGGACAATTTATGCTGCAGTTATCCCCGAAATGGAAAGGATCACATCCTATAAAACAATAGTTTACAAGTATAAATTACAGTCAAACCTGTATTACGCAGCACAGTTAAGGCTGCAGTAAGGAGGCGGGGCCTAATTTATACGGGAAATGCTTACTATGACATCAAACAAAAATATAAGTTCTTCAAACTATCACAAAATAAAATGATTTGTTATTATAAATTTATGAATAGCTTTAAACTACATCAATACTAACTAGTGCATGCATTATTGTCATTGGTTAAATCCCACACAGCATTATATATACAATTCACTGATCGCAATGCACTTGTCAAATTGACGTCATATCGGAAAATTTGACGCAGTTTGTATGCAGTGAGAGGCGGATCAAGTTATATTTATACAATGACAAATGTATTTTGTAATTAAATAAAATATGAATTGTAGATATATAAGAGGCCATTAACTTGGATGCAATGTCTGTTTTATGATTTTATTCATATACTTCCCGTACATTCCCTAGACAAGCGATACTGTCGTATATTTGTATGCAGATTCATTGAAGGGTAATAGAAGGGTCTTAATAAATCGATATATTGCAAGGGCATACCCTCAATGAATTATGACAAGCTTTTACACATAAACTCAAGAAGTATGAAGATATTTGAAAAGTGCTGCGAACCTGTTGAAATCTTGTAAATGAATTAATTATATCTATATTTAATGTACTTGACCAGCAAATATTCAACATACGGTCTAACAAATGTAATTTTAGCAATTAGATAGTAGAATCTATATAGGTTCGCAGCACTTTTCACAAACTACAAAGAGTGCTGAAAATAATTATATGTTAAACTTAGATTTTTAACTTGGTTATGCCCTTGCAATATTAGAATTTATAGATGACCTCAATACTTTAGGTATATTTGCTAAAATCACGTGACTGCCACATCACGTGACAAGTTTTAATTAAAAATTAAAAATCTAATCGTCCTCATCATTTAGTTTTCAACCACATTGCATTTGTCCGATAATATAAAGTCCTAGAAAGAAATGCCCATCCTTGTAAAGAATGTATTTTCTATCTAAAAAAATTCGCCGATATTTCCATTTGACACCTTAACTGTGCTGCGTAAGTAGTCACCTGCGGGAAATATTAAAAGTGACCTTTACAGAGAGTTGACCTTTGAAAAGAGGTTCTTCTTTTTTCAAGAAAAAAATCTTTTTCAATATAATATGTAAGTTATGTGTTTAAAAATACTACATCATGGAATCGATAATATAGAAAGATGATGCGTTGTGGAAATCAGTGGTCTCTGTTAGATTTTTAAAAAAAAAAAATTTAAATAATCTCAAGATTAAGTTCAAGCTAATTTGATGACTCCAACAAAAAATACATTGAGTCTAATAGGGCATCCTCCCTCCAAACAACAACAAAACTTTCTTTTATTATAAGATGTCATTATCATGTTGTACATGGATAAAATATAATGTATTTTTTTATCTAAACTGCCTCTAAAAAAACTAATTTAGTTAGTCCTAACAATAATTATTGTATGTGTGATAATACATAAATAGTAGCGTAATAAACAGACAAGTCATAATATTCTCGGTTTATCAAAGCAGTACATAATACAAATTGATATCAAATTCACAGGTGTTGTGAGCAATGAAGCGTGACTAGTCCTAACGGTCGTCTTACCTAGTTGAAAATCACGAGAAAATCAGGACACATTGAGTATACAAAACAATTAATTAGGGTTTCTACAAAAAATACGTTTCCTATGTGTTAAAACCGGCCTGCTATGCGTTTACACAATTACGCCTATTGGAGTTGGGCATGCTAAATGTGAACTAATAATTAGGAAACACATAACTATTGTATCCATTAATAGATAATTAAAGATGCCTCGTTTTTTAATATCACTCAGAGTTTTTTACACTAGATTCCAATTCAAAAAGATTAAGATTCTCGTAAGTCCGTTTTTCTGATAACCTTTTCGGTCACTAGCACCCTTATTTAGTTTTGTTAAAAAATGAATAAATTATCCAATATTTTAAATGTTTTGAATAAGACCAATTATTTTTTCCATGATATCACAAGATCAATTATTTACATTAATGACAAAATTTGAGAGTCACCTGACTTTAGATCTGGTCACGTGATCGGACAAAATGGCCGCTATATACGAGGTAAAACGGCGATTTAAGGTGAAATTTGATGACCGCTGACCGCGTTACGCAGATGACCGCTTAATAGAGTTACATTATGTAGGAAATTTCATTGGGAGGAAATAAAATGACCGCATCAGACAGGTGACCGCCGGATAAAGGTGACCGCTATGACATGTTTGACTGTATGTTTCATTCAATGGTAATTGAATAGCGTCATAAGGATCATGTTCTATCAAAGTGAAATTGGTAGAGAACACATCCTATCAAGATAACGTTTATTTCAAATCCCATTTTAAGGACCCTCCTTGCACTGTGAAAAAATTTTGACATTGAGAAAACTATACTGTTTAAATAGGTAAATAATGAGATTATCTTTCTAATTACAAAACGTGGCATTTTCCTCCGGGATATATTTTGAAAGACAAGCGTTAGTGAATAGAAATAATTGTTTATGAAATAAAGTATTCACTGACAGTCTTTTTAGCTTGGCCTTTTGATGTGTTAGAAATGCTTAAATTCATTACTAAATGAGTAATACAGTGTACATTTAATTTTTTAATCAAAGGCAGACAAACTGCAAAAATATCAAAGAAAAAGAACTTTTTACTTTGCAGTGTATAGAAGGCCATAGGGGTAATAAGGATCACTTCCTTTGATAATCAAATCACAAAAGGTATGGTATTAAAATGAAATGACAAAAATCCAGTCACATCAAAGTGATCTTATCACAATTGTAGTACATATTTCCAATAGTTCGATTGATATTCTATCAAAATAAAATTGGTAAAAATCGATATATCATTTCGTATCTATGCTATTAAAACAACAATAAGGATTAGATTCTATTAAGATTTGCAAAAAATTATCCAACCTTAGCAAATTTAAAGGGTCTAATCCAATCGGATTGCATCCTTGCAAACCAATGGATTTTTTTATTCAGAGTAATGGTAGGGAACACTAGTATTATCTAAACAATGCAAAAATCACATACTATCTTTATAATAGTAACTTTCAAAGACTATCAGAATTTCAGTATTATGTTGCCATATCGTACAAATTATACAGTATACATACAAGGGTTGTCCGGTAAAATCGTGGACATGTTGTCGAGTTTGAAAAATAATCATCACTGCGTTATGAAATTTTCACTACTCTTTAGTACATTTTTCATCGATATACATTGCAAATTTCAAATAGATATATGCTCAAATTAAATATGAGATTTTATGTATGGTATATGTATCGCCTTACGCATACGGATGATAACGTCAAAGTATCTAAAGCAGCGTCAAGTTTCCTCTTTCCTGAAAAAAGTTTGATTAGTTCCACTTATATTTCGAGAATTTTTATTGATGCAAACAGTAGGGGTTCCCTTTATTCCTCCAAAAATAGTCGAGGAACCAATCTCGCACACACATGGGACCTTCTGAAGATTTATAAGTAAGTTGTGGACAGTACTTTCATGATCATTCAACTAGTAAATAGGATATCTTATACCGAAGGTCTACAGTGACAGCGTCTTTCCCTATTGCCGGTAGCTGTTTGTCCGTATGTACTGTTCTACCCAGGGACTCGATCAAAAAGCTTCCGCTTAGGAAACTCCCAGTTCACTTGTATACTAAAGATCTAGTCATATTTTTTCTCTTCTGTAGTCCTTTGAAATCTCTTAGGGCGTCATTACTACATCTAAATCAAACTGAACTGCTCTACTGTGTGCCGTAACGTCATCAAATTTCGCCAATTTTCGCGTGTTGTGTTTACGACATTCTCATTTCAAGTGCGCTGGAAACTACCAAAAAATAAGCAAATGCCTTGAAATTTTGGAAAAAAAAATAACGACATAATAGATAGTGGATTAAAAGTAGGAGAATTTTTACACCAACCTTATCTATTAAATACTTTTATTTCGAAATAATGCTCGTGTATCCTGGCTTTTGATCGTGCGCCGTAATATTGTATGCTGTGCACATTAAAGTATAATATAATCCTTATTTTTGTCTATATTTCATAAAAATTAAGATGCACTTAAATATGATAAATAAACATTTGCTAAAAAATTCAGCTTAGTGCGCCTATAATTTTTTTTTTTTTTTTTATATATATAAAAACGCTTTGTCCGTGTTTTTACCGGACAACCCTCGAACACATAGACTAATACGACAGTCTATTACTCTGTGAAAACTTCACAATGACAAGTCATTTCTCACTTCTTGAACAATAACATTAAAATAAGGCAATGGAAAATTATTCATTGGATAGAACTTACATGCAGTTTTAGAAAAAAAAGATTATGATGAATTTGCTAAAACACAAAAGGCGGAATAGAAATTATATAAATGTACTTAAGGTATGTCACTCGTCAGCTTTTTAGAAAAGTTCAGTCAGAACCCTTAACTTCAAAACTATTTATTAAAATTCAATTTTTATAACATATTTAATTAAACAATGCAAATTATTCAACATTCAATGAAAAAACTGCTCAGAAATTCATAAAGAAGCAAGATTTATGAGGGACTATTTCTTGTGGTGGAAGGATATTTAGAAGAAAATTCTTCAAATCTCCATTTTTGTTAAATTTAATGTTTTGGAACTATAGCCCCACATATTTTTACTTAGAGAAAATTTTCCGTTATGATATGCTAGGAATATTAAATATAGGTCTCAATTTATATTTTTAGAATAAATTTTACACATTCACTCAACAGACTTTGCCAAGAAATAAAGATATATTAAAGAGGTCAAGATAAAATTTACACCGTTTTTTGCCTGAAAATCGCAAATTTTGACCAATATCTCAAAATTTACATCACTGACCCCAACTTTTTCTTTCATGAATTTAAACAACACGATACTTTCAACCGATCAACACTTAAGTCATAAAAAGTTTGATACAAGAAAATATTTTGTTGCCTATTTAGATATTTTATACCCCAAATATGATACTTTTTTAGTGCAAAAAGGTCACACAATGATAAATATCATTCAAACTATTTTACGTAAAATAAGATTATATTTATTGCCAAAATTACATCTGATAAAATATGATAAAGATTAAAGTGATTGACCAAAGAGTTACAATTTAAGTGCAAAAAGGTCAACTTAATTGTATCCTAGCTCAGTAGGATGCACACTGACACCCCATTTTCTTTGCGATTATGAGTCATGCTATATGAGTACTTATTTAAAATATACTTCTCAAAAAATCCTTGATATAACTAATATCACGAGTGACATACCTTAAGAAGATATGATCTATTAAGCTGAGTTACAGTATAAAGGAAAGATTTTTGCCTTAAAATTGGTTCTCAAAAATGAAAATTCTTTATAAATATTGTACTTCTGATTTCTAATGTAAATTTGTTAGAATATTTGTAAGATTATGAGTTAGTTTGTTCTTACTTTGCTCACATTTATCTCCAACCCAGCCTGCTTTGCATTCACAATCACCATTTGAGGAGTTACATTTCCAGGAATTGTTCCTAGTACAGTCACATGTATCCTCACAGTTTGGTCCAAAACTATACTCTCCACACTCTGTTTACAAGAGCATCGACTCAAAGAATTATACACATTGTATTCTCTTAGAAGAAGTGATTGAAAGAAAAGGGAAAAAATAATGTAAAGTGATCATGTATGAAGAATTGTATTCTGTTCGACATAAGCATATATGTTCCTGAAATCGTAGGATGAAATGACCTGATCGGATTCCTTTTTTACAAAAACACGGTCGTCTTAAAAGATCATAGGTAGGATCGGTGCCATGGTGGAGTATGCATCCTCTGTCGACTGGTCACACCTGCCGTGTGCTTCATTGACAATTAAGTGTGGTAATAATGGCATAACAATTTGAATAGAAAAAGTCACACAACATACGACTTAAGGCTGGTGTTCATGGTAAGATTTGCGTTTGAACTTGTATTATATATACAGCAAAATCTTACCATAATACATGACATAAAATTCTTCCTTTTAACTTATTCCTCTTAAGAGATTCACAGTCACGGTAACTCTGACTGACCTAAGTCGATAAAAAAATAGGTAGCAACTGTTCCTTTACCAAGCGCGGCACTTTGAAGTGAAAGTTGCGGGTCCTTCAGATGAGACCTTAAAAACTGAGTCCCCGTATCACAGCAGGCGTTGGCACGATAAAGATCCCTCACTTCTGATTGGCCCTGTGTGCCGAGTAAAGGTCTAAATTTGAAGTTCATCACCGGTCTATGGTAACGTCTCTATATGATTGAAATTTCTTGGACGGGACGTAAAACAATATGCAATCAATCAATCAATCTTGAGAGATGAATAAAATATATGGAGATAACGAACAATATTCAAGCTCAAAAGTCAATTAAGCAATACAAATTTTGGAGCAGAGCAAACACGGACCTCAGAGATAAATAAAGGAATTATAACAAATAGAGGTTCAGACAGTACTGAAATTGTTTTAAGAGAAATATTGAGGAAAACAACACGTATATTTATCTGCATTTATTTACAATAATAATGAAAAATTGTATTAGAGTGTGTACAAATGTATTATAATATTTACTTTATAATACAAATCTTACTGTGTGTACCGCCCTTTAACGATAGATTGAATGTATTTAATAGCAAGGTCATTGTAACTACCATAGAATATACCCAAAAATTGTCTTCAAATGAGATTGCTTATATCATTGTATTATCAACTTATTTGTCAATACCTTACCTCGTTTAAAATTTGTTCCTACGAAGAAATTGCTGGGATGTATCGAATCACCTGAGAGACATAATCTCCATATGTAGGTGATAATGGTATATTGCTTCATACATTGGATAAGGGAAGTGGACGACAGAAAAATTGAAGTCAACACGTTAATCATAAAATTTAGTTGTTAGTTTCCTACCACTGTCTTTCTCTAGTAAAATATCCAAATGTAAAACAGATGCGTTGTGTCTTTAAGGAGTTCAAAGGGATATATTCAATAGATGTAAGAATGAAAAGAATATTGCTACATATAACTGATAAAACCGATAAAATGTTGTCGATATATAATTAAATTGCGAATATAAATCCACAACAAGGGATTTCTAATTTCGTGTAGACGTTTTTGAAGAAGTTCTGCTTCATAGGAATACAAAAACAAGTCTACTTATAACGGTGCAAAATTGGTACCCATGGAAATTCCATCAGATTGTTGGACTAACTGGTCTCCCAAAACTTCATAGGTAGTTATGGTGGTGTGACCGGCTTCTGATCACCTCTGTAGTCCGTGTGAGGACCGCTCACAATTTGTTTTGTTCAACTGGACTTTTGGCTATGATCAATGTTTATTATCTTTCATATCATAAATAGCAATTCTTCTGCGTGAATTATTCATTAGCTATCCAAAGCACTTAAAACCTTTTTATCTTTTTTCGATCTCATCGTACATTGATAAAAAAACCTCAACTACACAGATGGTCGTACCCCCCCCCCCCACAACCCCACCCATCCCCACCTCTTGTGCATACTAACCTAAGGAGCAGTTTTCACCTCTCTTTCCACTTTTACAGACACATAAACCAGATAATGGGTGACACTTAGGATCGTGAAAGTCTGAACAGTTGCACGGTACTGAACAGTCGGGTCCATAAAAACCATCTGGACACTCTAAAACAAATCACGAGTATCAAATCTTGGTTTATCAATGTGAAAATAAAACTGGGTTCTCTAAGCAAAATTAAAATAATTACCATATGATTTAAAGGTCCTTTCATGATAACAAAGTATAAAAGAGAATTTAAACTTAAATTCTTCTCTTTACACACATGTATGTGCAGCTATATACTTAGTCTATGGGATGAATATAGTCTTGGGTCATTATAAACAAAACAGAAACAAAATATACACCGTCTTCACATATATCCCCTGTCCATCCTTTCACTGAAGAACAGTCACACTTTCCGGTAATGTGATTACATGTAGCGTTATTTTCACAGTAGCAATTCCTTTGACAGCTTGCCCCGTATTTTCCTGCTTCACATGCTGGAAATAAGTATTATTTATTAATTAAATAATTTTAATTTATTATATATATATATATATATATATATATATATATATATATATATATATATATATATATATATATATATATATATATATATATATATATATATATATATTCATATATTAAACATTCATCGATTGAAGGACTGGAGAAAATACTTGACATATATATATACATTCTGAGCAATTATCGCCAATCCATCCCGGTAAACAAGAACAGGTTCCATTCATGTCACACCTGTCGTAATTTTCGGCTACGCATGGGCATGTCAATGTGCAGTTGTCACCATATGTAGTAGAGTTACAAGGTACTTGAAATAGTAAGATCATATGCATCATTACATTTATTATACTTAAGAATTTGGATACAGTGAACAATTTTGTGTAAATGGCACAATACATATATGCATGATCTATTCATATCTTTGAAGGTGAAACGGTTGTTAAGTAAAGACATTTATTTAAAAAAAAGAGTACTTTTTGTACATATCCCTGTAATGTTTTGGTACCCCTCACAACAACTGTAAGTCTGACGAGTAATTAAAGTTGGTGTTTCTCTTTTTTTAGGACAGAAAAAATATCTGAAATTTTAGAGGTTATGTTTACTATCAAAAATTAAACTGCAGAATTAAAAAATAAAAATTCTTATTCCAGAATAACTCAAAAATCTAATATGCCTAAATGTTACGCTTATATACAGTTATGCGTAAAAATGAATGAAAATATACGCAGCAGGTATTTAGGATGAACTCTGCAAAAAAAAAAAATACAGAATTTGAAACGATATTTGATTAAAGTATCAATGATTCATATTGGACTTTTGCGAGAAGCACTGGCTTTTACAGTCGTCGGCTTACTTTGACTTTTAAACCTGCCTTATGTACGGAGGTACGGAATTGATAATAGACAAGAAAACCTTAATAGTGGTTATAGGTATAGTGGTAGGGGCACTAACATGATTTACCGGTATGCAATCAACACAAGAGATGATGGGAGGCAGGATAACACAACTTAAATTACTTTACTCGTGAGGGGTAGTATTTTCTCTCAGTCTTATTTTTCTGAAGTGAAATTAGGAAGAAAAACATTTCGGAAGGAAAACTAAGCAAGAATTGGTCAATGTGGGAATGGAGGGGGTTGAGGGTAGGGTGGGTGCCGATCCCTTCCTAGACAACGTAATATTTGCTTTGAAATGGCCCATTATTATCGTTTAATTAACTCTTGAGCTTTATGTTTATATCGCAAAAGAGCTTCCGTATATTGTCCTAGTGTAAAAGTAAGTCATCGCTTGTAAAAGTCAGCGCTTCTCGCAAAAGTCCATTGAGAACATTTGCCTAGTGACTCTTCGTTTCCAAAACCATATTCCTTTCGTAGTTTGCCTTGAACATTTTCTCATAACGTAGGTGATTGAATTCTCTCCGGGCACACTGAAATACAAGGATGCATGTGAATGAGAAATAGTAAAACTGAAAGAGGAAGGTACGGTTTTGCGTTTATTATGCCGTAGAATGTTTTCAAAAAGTTTTCAAATTTGCTTAAATAAAAGTTTAATATACTAGTAAAGTGATAAATAATAAAAGAAATGACATAAAGGAGGACGCTTCTGGAAATATGACGTTATTAATTTGTTATATTTCTAAGTTTTAAACGGATGAAAGTCTCAATATGTCTCATTTCAGGGGTTATTTTCCTTATAAACTTCAATTTTCGGATATTTTGTGTAATAACCTTTAAAAATCATATTTCTTAGAATTTTTTAATCGATGTATGTGGTCTATATTGTCTTAAAGAAAATTCCACTGAAACTGATGTCTTCTGCATCTTTTAAGAAAATACTGGAATATGCAAATTCATGACATCACAGTAGGCATTTAGGAGGTTATCTAAGAAAAACAATTTATGTGATCTTACTACATGGAGTTTGAAAAATTCAGAAAGCATTTTAATTTCTAACAAGAATTTCATATTTTAAAAACAAATACAGGGCCAGAATTGCAATGAAACCGTACCTTCTTTGAATATTTAGATAATGGTCGAAATTAATATACAGGTATCCCTATCTTTAAGTTGTTTGATTTTATTTTGTGCACAGATTGTCCGTACCAGGTATCCATATCTTTCCGATATCCATATTCTTATCTTGCTATTCAGTTTATACAACTATACAGACTTGCTTTACTTTGTACCCTAATATTATCAGGAGTATGGCTAACAGGGATGGGGTAATGGTAATGTGTAATGGTAATTGACAGTAATTAATTACAAATTTCGATGTAATTGAAAGTAATGTGTAATTGGCCCAATTTTCAATTACATGTAATTGTAATTTAATTAATTACTTTTGAGAAAAGCATGTAATTCACAATTACTTTTCAATTACATTCAATTACACAGGTGTTTAATACTTGAGAAATAGCCCATCCCCTCCTTTTTTTCAAATCCCAAACACTTTATTCAAGAAAGGTTAACTGATTTTTAGGACAAAATGTTCTATAATATATTTAAAAAATTATATATTTTCTTTATTTAGTGAATTGCTGTTTCCTCTTTCAAATGTATTTTCTTCAAAACTTTTTAATAATATTTATCTCCTTGTTTATAAATATATTAAATAGAATTAGTAATAATTTCAATTAAGTTGTTATGAATTGACACTTAAAATATCTAGTCCAGTGGCTTCTAATCCTTTGTTTGCCATACCTACAGCTTGTGTAAGAAGTGATCAACAGGTGCTAATTAGTGTCCTAGGGTTATGTACATATTTACACTTAGCTTTAATAGAGATTTTACACACATTTTCACCTTACCTATTGGTAGTTTTATACACATACATTGACTATGTCTTCCCACAAATCTTTTTTAAAATATATAATTTGGTGTTATAACACCAATTTTTCTATTTTAGTAAAAAAAGTTGTGGGAATACAGTAGTTTAACACATAATATGTCAAATACTATAACATTTTGAGATGTATAATTAGGATGATGAAAAAAGCAAAGAAAACGAGGCAAAACGCATCCATTGTTTTGCATAAATATATCAGAAAGCTTAAAAACGGACACATGAATTAATGGAAAACAGCATCCAGGTCCTGTAAAAGGACCGAGTCCCAGTTGTAAAATTGGCTTTTTCCCCCCAAATTCAGGTAACAATTCCCAACTGATGACCAAATTCAATTTTTTTATGCCGTTTATATAAAGAAATGACGTGTTTTGAAATTTTGATCATTTTTAGATATATATCATGTGTATATGGGGAACAAATCTACTATTTAACTCTTTAATCAACAAACAAATATGTCAACAACATTTCCCAATTTTGCCACTTTTTCGATTAAGAATTCACAAAAGGGTACAGGACCCTGTACCAAAATGGATAATTAAGCCCTGGAACTTGCTATTAGTAAGTATTTATGTATTCCTGTCACAATTGCCCCAGTGTAAAATATCTTCATTGTGGCAGAAAAATCTTTAAACCTGATAAATGTAGGTTAGGGGACACAATATTTTAAAATTTCATTAACATCTACATAATGTTTACTTAATGTAAAAACTAGTAACTGAAACTATATGAATATGAATGAACGTTCATGACTATTTATCATTTTGATTTTTATGTTTTTTCTTAATGTAATTTGTAATTTAATTAATTACATTTGCAAAGTAATTGTAATTTAATTAATTACATTAATTACAAGGATTGAAAGTAATTACAATCCTTGTAATGGTAATGGCAATTTAATTGAAGGTTTTGGGCAAGTTATTGTAATTTAATTAATTACTTTCCTATGTAATTGACCCCATACCTGATGGCTAATTGATACACAGATTAGCTGTACTCTGTATCTCTACCTTTTATAAGTCTGGATTACTGATATATAGATTTGCTTTCCTAGGTATCCCTTTCTTTCAGATGTCCAGTTACTTGGATGTATAGAGTATCTCTAGTTTAATCAAAAAACATATCAGTTTTACTAGGCATCCCTATCTTCAGGAGTTCGGTAAATTGAAAAAAAATTTCTTAGATAAAGAGGTTAAAAAAAAGAGGTTTAAATCATTTTGATACTATACTCAAGTACTCAGAAGTTAATATTGAAATATGCAGGTTCCTCAGTCATTGACAATATTAACAATTAAGTTAATAATACAAGGATATTAACGATCCAGTTTAAAGTCAACAATTGGACTTTATCTTACAGGAATCTGCTAGATTGATATTCAGATTGGTTCAACTAGGTAGCCCTGTAGTTCAGTGGTCCAATTTATCAATAAATATTTACATTTGCTGTTTTTCTACCTAATACCATTTTCGTGTATACTGACGCGTAGAAATCTCGTGTTAAAGTGGCGTCACGATTAGGCTACAGAAACGTTAATAGAAATATAACAATATAGGGAAGGAAGAAATTCAAACATTGAGTATATTTTTGATGCTTTTAAAGATGTTAAATAAAAAATATAAGGATTGTTTTACGTTGAGTGTGAATTATTGGTGTGTAAATCAAACATACATGTACTTGTACGCTTGCATTTTTTTTTTCATGAAGCGCTAGCGTGCTTCATGAAATATGTCTATGTGATTTACACACCAATAACTCACACAAAACTTAAAAACATTCCTTAAATAGATTTATTATGTCCTTTTTTTTAGGTATCTGGTTTACTCACCTGATATTTACCTTACAGGTTGTATTCTGATAGTCATGTTCAGCAGCACCAGCCGTTATACAGAATAATACCTAAAAATATTTTACGATAGCAAAAATATGTCAGATCAAAAATTAAAATGACAGAATTTTGACAAAAATAGATCTGATATTTATATTTACATGCCCTGTATACACATGTTTACCTTCAGAGTCATATTCAAGAACAATTTTAACAGCATTTAGACTCCCGTTTTTTTTATCATGAAATATTGAACATGACGATTATCAGTATTCATATTATTTTAAATAAATCTGAGATCTAAAACAAAAAGCTTTTATTTCAAGACAAGATACAATGTAAGTCAGGTTTACTAAGTTATATTTAATTTGCAAATATAGTTGATTAGAAATATTCGTAAAATATTTGTTTTACAGTCTGACGTACATATGCACATTTTGTAAACCACTGACTGCCAAAAACTGACTCACCTGAACTTACAAAGGATTGAAAGTAATAACAAAATTATTTATCTTCATTTGTTCTCCTGAAGGTATTTAAGCCCTCATATTTGGAAATTTCATATTATTTGGATATTTTTTTCGCTTTACTGCCTTGAAAAGAAATAAATATAGATTTGTTTTTACATCCTGTTGTTGATTGATTACTCAGTTTTGTTGAAATCTAAAAAGAAAAGCACATGACTGTTCATGTATAAATTGGTAATTTTTATTTTACTTAATACCAACAGGCGGAAGGGTCACAGCCTGATTCGCCTAATAATTCTGACAACTACATGTTATATTGACAATATCTATATATATTTTTTTAAATCAACCCTTTCAACAAGTTGTTGGAATTCCCATTGGTACTAAATACGCCCCGTTATTAGCAAACCTATTTTTGTATTCATATGAAGCAGAATTAATTCCCAAACTTTTACATTAAAAGAAAAAAAAAACTCTCACTGTTGCCTTAAGCTTTAATTCGACATTTCGATATATTGACACCGTTCACGGTAGCTAAGTCGGTAGAGCGCTCGCTCCGTGATCGGGAGGTCGTGAGTTTGAATCTCGGCTGCAACTGACCTAAGTTGATAAAAAAAAAAATGGGTAGCAACTGTTCCTTCGCCATGCGCTCGGCACTTTAAAGTGAAAGTTGGGGGTCCTTCGGATGAGACTTTAAAAAACGGGGTCCCGTGTCACGACAGGCGTTGGCACGATAAAGATCCCTCACTGCTCCATGGCCCTGAGTGCCGAGTAAAGGTCAAAATTTGAAGCCCTTCACCGGTATATGGTGACTTCTCTATATGAGTGAAAAATTCTTGAATGGGACATAAAACAACATACATCCAACCTATCATCGATATATTGACGACATCAGCAGTATCAGCAGATACAATGACCTTGTCAGCAAACACAATCTATCATTAAGTCAAATG